AAATATGAATTTTTATTAGAACAGTTTAGATTTTATTTAATATAGAAATTAAATTTATACATTTTAAGATAAAATGCAGGAGTGGTGGGCAAACTACCGCCCGGCCTTATTTACCAAAAAAAGAACCAAAACTTAAAAAAAATCTCTCTTAAATAGAAAAAATTTGCTAGGTAATTACATATGCGGCCCTTCAAAGGTAAAATGGTTCTCAATGCGGCCCTCACAACAAAAAGGTTTGCCCACTTCTGGTATAATGTAAAGTGTAGGTAGATGAAAACTATTTAAATACACCAAATGTTTAATACCAAATATCGATGAAGGTTTAAATAATACGCAAATGCAACACAATACCTGATGTAAAACTCAGAATATGCAATACAATACCTAATGTACAATAGAAAATATATAATACAATACCTGATATACAGTGTAAAATATACAATACACTACCTGATATACAAGGCAATATGCACAATACAATACAAAATATACAATACAATACTTGATATACAACACAAAATATACAATACAATATCTGATATACAACACAAAATATACAATATAATACCTGATATATAATACATATATTCAAAACAAAATATAATGATATAATGATTCATTTTTCAATATAACACACGAATGAAATGGTTGACAAAATTCAAACCAAACACACGCACACCACACGCACACACACACTGCACGCACGCACGCACACAACAAATGTGTGTTCGTATTTCGGAATAATAGGCAAATTGTCACATTGACTTAACAGGGATCAGATTAATATTTTACGTCCAGCTGTCACTGCCCATGTCCTCGTATGTACGTGTGTGTGTGTGTGTGTGTGTGTGTGTGTGTGTGTGTGTGTGTGTGTGTGTGTGTCGTATATAAACCTGTATTTTTCGTATAAATACATTTCAATTTTAAAAAATATAATCACGTATAGCGTATGGCCATCATTTTGATAGATGAACGAATACAATGAAAACTTACAAATGAGAATTCTAACTTTAGCACGCACTCGTTTATATCAAACTTCGATATAACAGGAATCTATTCGCGCTGTGAGTAGCTAATCTGTCATTTATGTTGGAGCTGTTAGATAGCTTTTCATAGGTACCTACATTCGTTGGTATGTATATGTGAGGTGTGTATTTTATACGTATTTGTATGTGTGTATTTTTGTATGCGTATAATACTACACATATTATTTGTCGGTGCAACTCTATACATTATTTTTGCTATTAATTTTATCGATTTATATATTTTTCATGATTTATTGCAATTTAGGCACACGTGTTTGTCCATTGGCATGTTTGTGTATCTCTAAATGTTTGACATGGGTTTCACACACACACACACACACATACATACATTCATACATACATACATACATACATACATACATACATACATACATACATACATACATACATACACACATACATACATACATACATACACACATACAAACACATATACAAACAAACAAACAGGTATACATACACACCTACCTACATACATACATATATTATGAAATATGTTACAATACCTTTATGCCTACTAAATGAAGATGAATGTATAAATGCTTACGCGCATTAGTTGGTTGGTTTGTTGGTTGGTTGGTTGGTTTGTTCGTTGGTTGGCTGGTTTGTTGGTTTGTTGGTTGGTTTGTTGGTTGGTTGGTTTGTTGGTTGGTTGGTTGGCTGGTTTGTTGGTTGGTTTGTTGGTTGGTTGGTTTGTTGGTTGGTTGGTTGGTTGGTTGGTTGGTTTGTTCGTTGGTTGGTTGGTTGGTTGGTTGGTTGGTTGGTTGGTTGGTTGGTTGGTTGGTTGGTTGGTTTGTTCGTTGGTTGGTTGGTTGGTTGGATAAAATAATTATTTACTGTTTCAGTTAATTAAATGCTTAGTTGGTTTATTCATTGATTATTATTTGATAGGTAAGTTGAAAACTAACTGGTTAAAGTAAAGAAAATACCTCTTATAATTGCAACAGTTATAGCCCCCATTATCATCATCATCATCATTCATTTATTGACATTATCACCATTCATTTATTTATATCATCATCATCATCATTATCATCATCATCATAACAATTGTTATTGTTACCGTAAGAGTATTGAAAACAAAGCCGGCTTGTTATGATAGATGACTATTAAGATGAATCATCTTTACCATCATCATCATTATCATCATCGTCGTCATCACAATCATCATCGCTTTAATCATCATTATCATGTCTGTAATCATCATCGTTATTGAGAAATTTCCATCGGAATGTGGAAATATAGTTTTTTGCTATCATCATCATCATCATAATCATCACAATCATTATGTAAATTTTGATCGTCATCACTATCATCATCATCACAACCGATAATGATAATGACCACGTGACTGCGGGCTGACCAATGGCGTCGTTTGCAATTTCCTGCCTTCCGTCAATGCTCATTGTCCCAATGTAAACGGCTTTTTGCATGGCTTTCACGCTTCTGAAAACCTCTAAATTAATGTGCTTGCTTTGTGTGCGTGTGTATGTGTACGTTCGTGCGTGCTTGTGTGTCTGTGCGTGTGTTTGCATCTTCTTGTTTTGTGTGGATCGTATTGTGTTTATCTGTGTGTGTGTATCTGTGTGTGTGTGGTGTCTCTCTCTCTCTTTTTCTCTCTTTCTCTCTCTCTTTTCCTCTATTTCTCTCTTTTTCTGTGTGTGTGTGTGTGTGTGTGTGTGTGAAATTTTGTTTGTTGTTTGATTGTGCCAATTTTCATATGAATTGGATGTGAATATTTGGTTTTGCTACTATGCAATGAAGCAGACGTAACGCTAGAAATTTGCAAATCGCATACGAACATTTACAAATTTTGTGTGGCAACTCGGATGCTTTATTCTAACATTAATCAAACAGCCAACCGTCTGATCAACCAGCCAACCAGCCAATTTCAAAAATGAAAAAATTTCAAAATAAATTGTTTATTAATTATATGATATAATAACGAATATGAATATATTATTTGAAAATATGGCGCCAACAAACTGCGTTTCGTTACTACAGCCTAAAACTGAATACAATTAAGTTCTAGTACAATTTTGTTGGCAAACACTAATAAAGGAATGTGATGATGGCCAGATTCATGCAAAAACATACTCATACAAAACATTAGAAACAATTACACAAACACATAACGAAATAACAACAAACAAATCAGCCGGCATACAAAAACATACAAACATAAACCTACAATCATACACGTACAAACATACACATTCGATACAATATGATTTTTCATTAATCAGACACATACAAACCTAAAAATGAGGATAATAATAATAACGATGATGATGACGATGTTGTTGATGAAAGGGATTCATGATAAAATTAAATTAAAATACACGTCGTTACGAACGACCATGATGATGACGTCATAATGGTAACGAACCCGCCACCTATGTATGTTGAATTTATGACAGCTATGAGTTTGATGACGATGACGATTATGAAAATGATGGTGACGATGACGATTATGAAAATGATGATGATGATGATTAACGGTGAATAACATTATCATTATACTCATTTGCTAGTTTCGTCATCGTCCTTGTCATCATCGCAGCAGTAGCCCTGTAGAGCGTTTCCTTAAATTAGGTCACATGTCTGGGACATCATCACGTGTTTGACCTACTGACCTCAAGCCACCAATCACGACTGCTTTTGTTGTTGTTGATGTTGTTGTTTAGGTTGTTGTTTTTTTTTGCTGATGTTGCTACTGTTGTACATGTGTCAGTTTGTGTTTGTTTGTGTGTTTGTGTGACTGTTTGTGTGTGTATGTGTGTAAGCTTAAAAAGGAATTTCTAAAAATGTATAATTTTAAAAAAGGGCGGGGAAAACAAAAACAGCGGTTGATTCGCATGAATGGCTGGACGCTCGGATCGCTTCCACGTGCATAAACTATTTCCTTTTTTCCAGTTTTTTTGGTTTGGTTTTTTGACTTTGTTTTATTGAAGTTGTTATTTTGATTTGGATTTTTTTTTTGAGTTTTTTTTGTTGTATTGAAAATTTAGTTTTTCATCTTTTTTTCTGATCGTCTCGGTGGATATGTTTTTTTTTTATCTACATTATGTTTTATTTAAAATTTCCGTGGGTGAGCAAAAAAATTTCGAGTTTCTACAAGCTGCCATTTTGAATTTCAAAAATTTTTTTAATTGAAAGTCCTATTTTCTTCATAGGCTTCGTTGTTTTGATTCTACGGTTTTTATTCTGTTGATCTAGTGGGAGTTTTTTTTCAAAATTCGTTTAAGCAACTTGATTTTTCTTTTCAACAAAATTCAATAACTTCTTAAAACAGCATACTAACACGCACGCACTTACACACACACACAGAGAGAAAGAGAGAGAGAGAGAGAGCGACAGAGAGAGAGACAGAGAGAGAGAAATACAACCATGCATAGAGGAATTAGATGTGATATTGTTATTTGTAATTGCGTATTTAGGTCAGGTATAGATAATTTGCCACAGCTGAGTTGAGATCTTTGTTACACTACTTTGTTTATTTCATGTCCAGCTTTTTGTTCCGCTACATGTTTATGTTTACTGTAGGATGTTTATGTTTATGACGTCAATGTTTATGTATATGACGTCAGATGTTTATGTTAATGTGTATGCTAATGATCATTGTGATGTTGGCATTTATAGACTGTGCGTTTTTCTCTTTAAATCTCTGATGTTGTTGTTTACGATGTTGTTGTTAAGGATTTTGTTGTCTATGCTCTTCATAATGTTCTTTATGTAGTTGTTGTTGTTGTTGTTGTTTATAAGTTTTTGTTTATGTTGTTGTATATGTTTATGTTGTTGTGGCTTGTAAGCAGATGTCATTGTCAGAGTCAATGTTTTAATGAGTGAGTGTGTTAGTAATATGCAATATATACATTTCATAAATCATATTGAGTGTTGTATTGTATACTTAAATTTCCCGCCCCTTAAATTTGGCTTCCCACGAGCGGTTCATTATTTAACCCCGTAAGATGGTCCATGGTTATCGCTTATTTGTTGTCTGTGTTGTTGTTGTTTAATGTTTAATTTAATGTTGTTGTTTGTATGGTTGTTTGTATATCGTTTAGTTATTTTAATTGTTGTTAGAGTTGTTGTTTGCTTGCTAGTTTTGTGTTGGGGTTTTGTGATTTTTTTTATGCTACTGTTGATGACAGTGTTGTGTGTTTGTGTGTGTTTGTGTGTGTATGTAGCGTGTTGTAGTTGTTGTTGTGCATGTTTTGTTGTTGTTGTTGTTGTGCGTGTTGATGTTTTGTTGCTGCTTTACTTTATTTTTGTTTATAATCAAGTTGTTGTTTGTGATGCTGTTGGTCAAGTTGAGAGCCTTGGGATGATGTTTTCTCCCAATTTGAATTACTGATTTTGTTGTTAGTGTTGTTGTTGTTGTTTTTGTTATTGTTGTTGCTCTTGTTGTTGCTCTTGTTGTTGTTGTTATTGTGC